GATATAAAACGTTTGACATAAGTGTTTCAATGTCATGAACTCTTATAGAACCACTATACAATAGTCTAGAAGATATACTATCCAGTCAATATACTCTGCTTTTTTCAAAACCTCTCTGACAGTATTTTTCTTATCTAATGGTATACGTTCCATCTTACCTATAGGTATCTTTTCTTTTAACTCACTCAATATTTTGTTTGTGTCTGGTATATGTTTGAGACGGTTCATATAGTTGTCGAAGTCATTGCATATAATCTTTGAGTCAGGAAATACAGTATGGCACAAATGAGATATATAGAAACTTCCACCGAACAAATCTACAAATGTTAGACCATTCGGTAGTTTCTTAAGTTCTCTCAATAGAATATCTTTACATCTACTCTTATTTCCAAAGAAGGGTAACGGTGGTTTTGTAAAATTCATTTTATATACAATAAAAATGTTTTTTCCCTGAAAAGTGACAGAAAAGTGACAAAACATGAAAACTACTCGGTTAAGGTCTTGTCGGTTTTGTAAAATAACCATCCTATCTTGTTAAGACTTCCTGGACTGTTGTCAAAATGTCATGTTGTCTCATTTTTTCAGAGAAGTTCGTTTAACCGAGGGACCGAGGGACCGAGGGACCTGGTGTTATACTAAACATCTTCAGGGGGCTAGAGGGGCGCAGCCCTGGAAGCCCCAATACCTTTTTTTTTATTTTATTTTAATAGTGATTCAACATTATACTGAAAGCGTGGAGTAGGTGACAAAAGTGCATACTCTTAAATTAACCTTAAATGTTGATTTTTCGATATTTTCGGTATTAACCTTATTGTAAATTTTTCCGGTGATAAATTTATCACACTGAGGTTATTTTTCCGGTGAGATTTTTAACCTTGATTTAATGAAATTAATATATATAAATTTTATTATTTTTAATTTCGAATGAGTATAATAAAATATTTTTTATGTGTTTTTGTTTTTGATGTGATTTGAATTTTGTTAACTCTTTTCAAAATCACTTCATTTTTATGATTTCGGTGGACTTAGAGGAGCTTATTGCTTTTGGTATTAAACAGGAAGTCAAGGGCGGTGTCCCATACAGAAGAAGAACGGGATCTCCAAAGCAATATGTCACTTATTCATGTTCGTATCCCCTATGCAAGGCAAAATTTAGGGTTGAAGAACAAAATGGAGTGTTTACTATAAGCAAAGTTAATGAAGAACATTGCCATCATATAGGAGTTGAAATGGGTTCACATTACGCGAGTAAATTTTATCAAAAATGGATCGAACTTTATATTAAAAACGGTGGAAAGCAATTTCTTGCTCAAAAAGCATTTTTTGATAAGTTCGGAATTGATACGAATAACAAAGAAACGATGAAACTTTTCGCGCAGTCTACTGATGCTTTAAAGCACAAATTTTATTGCCTTGATGAGATTATTGCACAAAGATTATCAAACGATCCTTACACTTCTTTGGAAGCATTTTTGAATAATTTACAGGAAGAGTGCCCAGATGATCTCGTTCAATTTGATTACAATAGAGATTTTTCCGAGTTTACAATCATATATGCACCTTTTGCTGCAAAAGAATTGGTGCATAGCATTGATAACCCTCTCCACGTCGATTCCACTCATTCTTTAATTAAAGGAAAGATCCAATTGTTTGCAGTAACAATGAAAACAAGTCAAAACACAATTTTCCCCTTTTGCTATTTTTTAGTGAACCCTCAGACATCTGAAAAAATTCAAGAATGTTTGGTGAAATTCTGTGAGTTTGCGCACCTGGATCCACAGCATTGGAGCGCTGACTGTGCGCTAAACATTGCTCGCGCAATTGAGGACGGATTTCCTCTTGCGCAGCTCAGTTGGTGCGCTGTGCATGTTTTACGCGCATGTGCAAAAGTTGGAAGCTATTTTGACAATCCACAGAATTTTGAGAACTTCTATTTAGCAATGGACTTTTTGACATTACGTGCAGATGCAACGAATGCAGAAAAGCTGGCTGAAGAGTCTGATGAAACATATGAGTTCTTGACAACAATGTTAGAAGAAGAAGAACCGCGCGCTTTGAAGTATTTCGATAAACAATGGAGAAGAACCAAAGAACATTGGATGATGTTATATCGTGGAGAAGGTGATTCCACGAATAACATTGCGGAATCACACTTTCATCAATTAAAGCAAACATTTTTCTTGGGTAAGAAAAATGAGCGCATTGATGACATCGTCATAACTCTCATCACTGTTGTGATTCCAAATGCGATTATTAAGGTTCAAGTCGCTAATGTTTTGAATGAAGAAAGAGCAGTAAGAATTTTTACAAGGGCAGGTAATCAGATTGTTGAGCAAAGAGCTTCAAAACACGATGAATGTTTGAAATTAATTCAACACATTTTGGAAATTGTCGAAAGCCGAAGGATTGAACCTAATGTCCTTATTCCATCTTTGAAGGCAATATTAAATTTGGCACAAAGAAGTTTAAAGGAAGAGTAAGCAAGATTAGATAATTTGGACTTTTTTAAAAATTAATGAATAAACAGTATATTTTTGAAGTGTAAGCTTATTTACCTGAAGCTATATTACTTAATATAACATTCAAAGTATTATTGCTATTTATTGGAGAACAAATTTATGTAATTTTCACATGAAAATTGATAAATTTGTATTTCCTTATGATAATCAATTTTTGTATTTGTAGAGAGTCTCCCTGCATGATATCAAGACTTGGCTATTAGTCTTTATCCATTTTTGAAAATTGTATTGTAAATTGTAAGAATTTCTGAATACTACTACTATAAAATATAATTGCTTATCAATGTATATTCTCCCTGCATGATATCAAGACTTGGCTATAAGTCTTTATCCATTTTTGAAAATTGTATTGTAAATTGTAAGAATTTCTGAATACTACTACTATAAAATATAATTGCTTATCAATGTATATTCTCCCTGCATGATATCAAGACTTGGCTATAAGTCTTTATCCATTTTTGAAAATTGTATTGTAAATTGTAAGAATTTCTGAATACTACTACTATAAAATATAATTGCTTATCAATGTATATTCTCCCTGCATGATATCAAGACTTGGCTATAAGTCTTTATCCATTTTTGAAAATTGTATTGTAAATTGTAAGAATTTCTGAATACTACTACTATAAAATATAATTGCTTATCAATGTATATTCTCCCTGCATGATATCAAGACTTGGCTATAAGTCTCTATTCATTATGAGTATGACCCCATTTTTTTACAAAAAGTGCCGAATTGCAACTTTGTCCCAATCTCCAAGGAAAATTCTTTGTGGTTGGTTTTTTATGAGTAGTTTATAATATGAAATATATTTGATTTCAAAAAAAATGAAGGAAATTTCGAAATTTCAGAGTATAAACGTATTTTTTATAACCATCATATGATAAATTGGCGTGTTATATAATATTAAATTATTAATTTAATAGAGATGATCTGTTAGCGATTATTGAGTGATTCGGATGATTTAATTGTTTCATTCAGATCAATTGAGTGGGGGACAAACTCGCCCATTGTCACTTTTTTGTTAACCTTAAACTTGTAATTTTCATTATTTTTAATTAACCTTATTTCTTTCCCAATTCCTGATTTATTTTATTCACTTACTATTAAAAGTCACATTTTAATAAAATATAATAATTTATTTATAGCATTTTTTACTATACTGTAATAAAAAATTAATTATAATAAATTAAATGTTTATTAAATCAAATGTTTTCTTTGCAATAATATTTTTAATGTTGAGTAAACAATGTTGGGATCAAGTGTATCATTTTTCAGACCTTTCTGAACAGCTTCAAGCATACTGATGCATTCGACTTTTTTAAATTGTGTCATTTCTTCGAAATCTCTTGTGACTTTTTTGATAACTTTAACACTTCTCTCTGAATCCAGACCTTTAATTTGCAACTTAATCAGGAATGAAGGAACAACACTGGAATATAACTCGATGACAAGTTCATCGAGTCGAAGATTTGGTTGTACACCACTTGTATGTGCCGGATACCATTGTGTCAAATTTTTTCTGAAATTAACTTTAAAAGTACTAAGTAAGATCATGAGATATAGCAATATATGTTTAAACCAACTTATATTTTGGTTGTACACCACTTGTATGTGCCGGATACCATTGTGTCAAATTTTTTCTGAAATTAACTTTAAAAGTACTAAGTAAGATCATGAGATATAGCAATATATGTTTAAACCAACTTATATTTTGGTTGTACACCACTTGTATGTGCCGGATACCATTGTGTCAAATTTTTTCTGAAATTAACTTTAAAAGTACTAAGTAAGATCATGAGATATAGCAATATATGTTTAAACCAACTTATATTTTGGTTGTACACCACTTGTATGTGCCGGATACCATTGTGTCAAATTTTTTCTGAAATTAACTTTAAAAGTACTAAGTAAGATCATTTATTTTTGCATAATATAATGCCAATATGGTTTCTTTTGATTTTATTTCATTTATAAGCAAATCAGATTTACCCAAAAACTCCACTCCATAAGCGTTCATTTGCTAAATTAAAAAGTGACAATGGGCTAGTCTGTCCCTTTCTCAGATCAATTTATTATAAAATTCTAAAGCGTTTTACGTGTGAGAGTATATTTTGCGAGATATTAGAATTTCAAAGGGATAGTGCTCGGGGATAAAACGAGATTCAGCTAAAACCGTTTTTTAAAATTTAGTTTTGGAATTGGGAGGCGAAGGAACGTCAACGAACTGGTGGATAGCACACTTCGAAGATGCTATTGACGCCAGTAACGGTGTTTCTCCTCCTGACTTTCATGTCGTTCGAAAAATTTGGAAAAAAGATTTTCCAATCTTTTGGTACTTTACAATATCAATTAAAGACCAGGAAGAACATTGGAAAACTATATATGATATCACTTCTAAGCTCTACGCGCCTACTTTAGTTGATTCTCCGTTAGTAGATTTTCAATCTTTCATAAATTCATTACATAATATATCTTCGATGTTATGTCCGAAAACAATTACAGATGCTGTTAAACTTATTCAGAAATTCGGTTCATATCAACAAAATCCAGGATATTATTTAATTAGCCAAGTTCCATTTTTGTTAAACAACCTTATTTTATATCTAAAGGCAATACAAAGTTTAATAGATACTAAAGACAAATTATGGCTCAGTTTAGTTTCGAAAGCTAAATATGTCAATTCTTTTGCGAAGTTTTATTTGGGGCTTTTGACACCGGTCTCAAGCAAGTTCAGCAAGTCATCGGCTGCATGGCAGCATCGTTTGTTATTGTCAAACGTTTTATTTTCTCTGATTTTTGAATCTGCAAAAACAAACATAGATTCGATTCAATTATCGGCCACGTACTGTGATAAACTGATCAAAATACTTCCAAATTCCCCTCCCGAAGTAGAAATGTCGTTAGTTAGAAATATTATTAATATTTCTCGAAAATTTTCTTACAAAACTGCAAGGGATGTACACCAAACCAGATTTAATACATTACTAACTACAATTGCCACGAAAAAAGATTCAATCAGTTATCCGGTAATAATTTCGTTCCTAATGACCGCGAAACCGAGAGTTGTTTCAGGTCTGCGAATTCTCAAGTCTATGTTCATATACGGAATCCGTTCTCCTTCAGATGTGTCTCATATTGCTGCAATGGCTGATTACGCTGGCCCAATTCCGACCTTGAAAACATTAGCGCGTAAAGGCCTTGAGAACAAATTATGGCATAGATTATGTTTCTTTTACATCAGAGATTTGTTGATACGATTTTCTAGCGACTCAGAGGTCATCGATTGGGGTCAATCGTTTATTAGACGATTGTTCTTATTGGTGGCACTCTCCTCGTCAAGGAATAAGTATCATACAAAGACATTATTAATTTGTGAGGATTTGTCAATGCTAACGAACGTCCATCTTATCTGGTGTCAACAAGCATGTCATATAGCTGCTGCTTCCATGTTCGCAACTCGCTCTGTTCCAACTTATTTCACTCAATTTTTCTCAATCGTTGCACAGCCAGATCCAGCGTTAATGCTTGACTTCACAAACTTCAATAGCAATCCTGTTGTATTGAAAACTTTTCCATTTGACAAAAAAGGAAATTTTGTTTTTGTTATTCGTGGACCATTAGAAAAATTGACAACTTCTCCACGTTCAATTGCGTCAAAGAAGATTTTGAAGCCAAATATCAAGAAGCAATCGATTTCTCCTCATAATACTCGATCAAAACTTCCATCTCTTAGAAGTACTAAGTCAAAGAGATGAATTTGGGTTACTTTTCTTTTTATATACTACTTGTTTTTTATTTTTCTTCCAAGATTGTTATATAATCTTGGAATTTGTTTTAATTTTTTTGTTTTTTATTTCTAAAATAGTATGTTATTTTATATCTTGAGTATTTTTCAACTCCGATGATTTTGTCATAATTTCATTTCATATGAAATTTTCTGATAAATTCAAGGGATAATGTTTGCCAAAATAAACTATACCTTTATCCATAGAATATATGGTTTCATTGCTACTTAATAGTTATATTTTAATATGATATTGTTAAGAATTGACGAATTTCTCTGCATAAAAAATGTTACAAGGATGAGAATTTTTAAAATTGAGGTTTTTAGTAAGAGTTGATAACTCAGTAAACCAAAATATAAACAAAAAGAAGAATGTCATTATGATTGTTTTATTTTTGTATCATAATTTATTGAGGAAAGTTTGATTCGTTCCCAATGAAACGTATGCACAATAAGCGTTTCTTGTTTTGGGAGCGACCAGACATCTATTTGTTATTTATATGCATGTTTGCAATCAAATTTAAACTGTTTTGTGAATTCAATACAAATTACAAGTTCGATTTCAAGAAAGAAAGCCCATATAGGATAGGAGAAAAAATGGAACTTAAGATGTTAAGATATATACCAAATGAATACTTCGAAAGAGCAATACATCTCAGAGAATATCTCGAAATTGAAAATAATTCGGTTTTTGTTCAAGGAAAAAGTTACGATCATTATACAACAGATATTTACGGAATAACTAGATGGAATAATATGTCATATGCTGTTCTTCGAGACGTAACTATTAATGGCGCTTCAACAGCAAACAACGGTACTCATTGTTTCTTGCCTAATGATTATCCGCAGTTAGATTATATATATGGTGATGGCCATGGCCAAGTTGTTGAGCAATTTGATTCTGTTATCGCGTTTGGTCACATGTTTACAATGACATATGGTCATTGGTTCTTAGATTACTTGTCTCCAATGCAATATTTACCACAATCAATCTACAGATCATCGACAATTTTAAATATTGCTAATTTCCCTGATGGAGCTGCTTCATTAGATGTTTTTGGTATCAGCTTATATAAGCGTCGTTTTTCACAAGATGGCAGAAGATTCTTCTTTACCAGACAAGCTTACGTTTTATACAACCCAATTCCTCACGTACGGCATTTTGGAACATGTCTATTGAATCTTTCCAATATCCTGTGCGAATACTACAAATTGAATGAAATTAAACCAACAAAATTTGGTTTATCAAATAGAAAAGGTAAAAGAGAAGCAGAAAACTGGAAAGAGATATGTGACAAGATAACTAAGAAGTATCCGGAATATGATTGGGTAGATGTTCAAGATGGACTTAATATTTCAGAAAGTGCCAAGCATTATGCAAGTTTAACATTTCTATATGCAGTTACAGGATCAGGACTTGTTAAAATAATGTATATGCACTCAGGTTCTGTAGTTGTTGATATGCAATTAAGTTATAACGATCATGCTATGCAATCTCTTGCACTTTGCAAGCATATATTAATGATTTGCTATCAAGAACCTGGATTGCAACACCATTATACTTCCAAGTTTAATGCAACTGTAAGTAATGCTATGAAATTTGTTGGATATGGAATTGATGCATGGAAGTTGCATAAACTTCCTCCGGAGTTATTTAATGAACCAGATAGATATATTTAACTGATATTGTCCTATTTTGTTATATTTTGTTTTCTAAATAAATATTGTATTATGAAAATTTAAATAGAACTTCCATTCCAATTATACACGAAGCAAACTTGCAAGATTCTAGGAATAACTACTTAGCATTGAGAAATTTATTATATTTTATTGAGAAAATGAGGGACGCATAATATACACATAGTGCAAACTCGACTTTGAAAAGATGTTATTCATGAATAAATCAGATGATTCTCATTATTTTGTTTATTTTTATGCAAAATTAAACATTTCAGGATTGTCTATCAAAGAATGATGAATTTTTGGATAATGTAATATATACAAAGATATGAGTTAAGATGACGCGCACTTAAATGTTGCATGCTAAGTAGTGTCAATGTGTAAACCTCTCAATTTTATCGTCGGGGAAGCAACACAATTCCCTCAAAAATATTGAAAAAATATAGAAAATAAAATGAATTAAGATGTACTTAAAATGAGAAATAGATTATGATATTAGATTTTAGAAAAAACAGACTTTTGATATAACTTTTGAGAATCTCATATAAAAAAAAGCATTTAAAAATAAATTTAAATATCTTATTTATTTTACTATTGTAAATATATTCAGAGATTTTTAGAAAAAAAACTTTTCATAAGTATTCAATATTTGAGAATACGGTCCAAAAAAAATAGATTCTCTTATATTTGCTTATATAAAAGGAAACTCTCCATCAGATGCGAATGCATGAATTCAGCACCTCTGATAGAGAGTTTCCTCTTATATAAGCGGATCTTTTTCATTCGTTTTTGTTAATATAAAAACATCAAAATCTACCAATATGAGAAATTAAACCCTGCGAGGCACCAGTCTAGAACTGGCACTTCGCAGGGTTTAATTTCTCTTGACAAATGACAAAACTTGTTCGCAATTGTGAACCATTGCGAGCAAGTTTGCCAGATATCTGGAAGGAATTGCTCCTTATGATATATGCATTGTAACTGTATATATCATAAAGAGCAATTCCTTCAATTAAACGCAAAAACTTTGGTGCAATCGTTGCTGATTGCACCAAAGTTTTCGAACTTTCCCGAGGGAATTGGAGGGTGAGAGATACATAGTCTATTTATGTACCTCCCACCCTCCAAATCCCACTCTAAATGGGAGAAACTTTGTTCGCATGTTATCTTATTCAAACAAAGTTTCTCCCATTTAGAGAAGGAATAGGAGTCTACCAGGCACTGATATATAATCAGTGCTTTGTAGGCTCCTATTCCTAATAAAAATTTGAAAACTTTGGAGCATTTGATTATTGTCATTTGTCAAGAGAAATTAAACCCTGCGAAGTGCCAGTTCTAGACTGGCACTTCGCAGGGTTTAATTTCTCATATTGGTAGATTTTGATGTTTTTATATTAACAAAAACGAATGAAAAAGATCCGCTTATATAAGAGGAAACTCTCTATCAGAGGTGCTGAATTCATGCATTCGCATCTGATGGAGAGTTTCCTTTTATATAAGCAAATATAAGAGAATCTATTTTTTTTGGACCGTATTCTCAAATATTGAATACTTATGAAAAGTGTTTTTCCTAAAAATTTAATATAATGCTTAGCACAATATATAAAATTAAAATATCTATAATTATTTTCTATATCACACTTTTCATTACACCTTGAAAAGTCTTCTCAAACTCTATTTTTAATTATTTTTTAGATATATCTCAAGTGTGATTATTCAAAAACTCATATAGACTATATTTATTGTTTTCATTCAAAAAATTATATGAGAATCTCAAATTAACTTTCAAATTTTTTATTTTAAAAACATATTAATAATCATATTTTAAGATACTTTTTCGCCCAAAAAATAATCGTACTTCCTCGACGATTAATAGGATCTCAATTTCTATCGTTGACACTACTTAGCATGCAACAATTCAATAAGGATTGTTGTTCTATTAACGAATATTTAATAACAATAGCAAATTACTTTGAATTTGAGATGTATCACATGCACCGTCATATTTCCTGATCTATTTTAGTGAAATTGTTCAGATTATTTTAATTCCTTTTGAGGAACCTCATTTTCAAATTTATAAAAGTTCGATAGTTTAAGAAAAATGACACTTTTTCTGCTAAACAAAAAATTAATAGTATATTTTTATGCATAATTTACAGTGGAGCATATATACTCCGACTAAACAAAAAATTCAATAAAAAATTCAATTCGAAAACTTCGTATAAAAACTCATGGCACAATTAGTGTGATTTTTCTAAATACTTAAATTGTTTGATTAATAAATAATGAATTCAAAAAATTTGAAAGGCGAGCTTTAAGTATTCAATTTAATATATATGATAACCTCGTTTCCACAAACCATCCACTCTTATATTTTTAAGAAAGCGATTGGTAAGGGAGGTTTCTCAACAGTATATCTTGTTGAAAGTGAAGTTTATCATCAAAACTACGTAGCAAAAGTCACTCCGATTGATTTAGAAAAGCCGCACACAGGAGATGTCGATCCGCTCGATGCGGAAATTAAAGCACTCATGAACCTCTCTCATCAAAACATCATTCGACTTTACGATCATTTTACCGAGGGTAATAATTTCTTTGTAATTCTTGAATACTGTCAGCTTGGTTCCTTGCAGGACTCCGTAGGAGAAGATGGCTTAACTTTACAGCAATTTATATGCTATGGCAGACAGATATTGTCAGCTTTGGCATTTGTACATTCCAAAAACATTGCTCATCGTGATATCAAACCAGGAAATATCCTCGTAGATTCCATGGGCCGTATCAAATTATCTGATTTTGGAATCTCAATCCTCGGAGCAAACAACGTTGTTTCAACATTTTCCGGTTCTTTCCTTTACGAAGCTCCAGAAGTTATTCTGAAGAAACCGCATAATCCTATACAAGCCGATATTTGGTCGTTGGGTGTTTTATTTGCATATTTGATAAATGGAACTACTCCATGGAGGAGCGATAATATTAACGTGCTCAAAAACAGAATCTGCACAGCTACCTTTAAACTTAGGTCAAATACTCCTCCTGAAGTTGCTGAATTAATTACGAGTATGCTCAATATAGAACCTAACGAAAGACCAACAGCCCAAGAGATTCTTGAAATGAGATTATTCGAAAAAGAGTCTATTGAACAGACTATTTCAGAGAGTAACTCAATTCAAGATGTTTTATCACCAAAAGGAAGAGCCAACAGAAGAACTTTGCCAAGAAATAGATCTTCCTTTGAACCACAGTCAAAAGCCATTAATATTTTCAAGATGAATCTAATGGTAGGGAGTAATAATATGCCAATGATTAGAAATAGATTTCACAGTGGACAAATGTCTACATTTGTTCTAGATGAATAGGCATTGTAAAATTTTGTTTGTTATTCCTTTTATATAAAGAAATCAGTTTGATATTCCAATAATCTTTTTAATTTCAGTTTATTTACTTAAAAATTTGGTTTAAATACAAAAACCCTTTGTATGTAATATGATAATATGATTTGAAGATAATACTTAATATTACAATCTGATTGATTGTTGACGGCATTGTTTCTTGAATCTCAATAGCTTCATTATACATTAATAACGCACCAGAAAGGTCCAGAACAATTGTGTAACATTTATAAATCCTTGTTTATGAGCAAATACTTCTATACCATTTTCAATTATAGAACTATTACATCTCCAATTATCCCTAGAATTATAAAACAATATTTATTTGAGACCGTAACAAAACAATAGAATGTAAACATATTTGAGTGAAATAAGATAGTCACAAAATTTAAGTAGTGAGGCTCTCAAAAATTGAACCGTACTCCATACAAAATTTGTGTACCCTCACTACTTAGATTTTGTGGCCTTCAATTGAGAGGTTAGTTTTGATAGAGCACGTTATAAAATTAAAAGGGAAAAATAAATAAAATTTAAACATTTAATTATATATAATGTAAGGAGTGTAATTCCAAATTTTCTAAAAACTATTCAAATTTGAGCATTTTTTTGGAAATAGTAAATCTAATATGTACATCTAATAACAACATGATTCATCACCTTTTCAAGCTCTGCAGTCAATTTTTTGAAATTTGATTGAAATAAATGTAGCAAAAATTACATTTCATTAGGGAATATATGAGTTTCTCTGGAAACAGGCTGATAAATTTTAAATTTTGTCCAATCAACATGAATGCATTGAGAAATTTGGATTGATTTTCTGGTAGAATCTGGAACAATTCAACCATGTATAAATGGATCATGTAATCATCATGAAATGTTAGTGTTAGAGTTCAAAAGAAACAGAATGAGTGGAAATCAAACACAATCTGAATAATTTTAAACGTATACAATCTTTAAGTTTGTATTTTGAATTCTACATATATGATTGTGTAATTCGTTCTTTCAAATTTTCGGATTCAGGCATGTTTTGATAAAATTCATTCCCAAAAACTCCAATTAACAATTGAATTTAGTGTATTTTAAATATATACGTATTATATTTTATAAATTATATTAAATTCGCAAAATTTTAAGTTTTAAACAAAAATAAAAAATGTTCAAAATATGAAATTATGCATAGGATATTAAAATTTACATGTTAGCAATTTTTTGAATTGCTTTCAATTTTCATATTGAAATTTTTAAGATTTTTTTCTGAAATAATAAGCAAGAATATCAACCTAAATAATATTAAATTCCATGCGTTAATTTCCCCTCAAAAGTCATTGACCGCCTCTCAATCTAGATTTTGTGAGTACTTTATATGCATACCTAGTAGGAACTATTTGATATTTTAAGTTGCTTGTGCTTCGACGTGAATTGGAAAGGAAGAAATTATGTCACAGTTTTTCAAAAACTCAAGATAAGAGTATCATTGTATGGCAAAACCGGAACTCTATTAGATAGAGGCGTCTACATTTGTTGATTTGTCTTGTATCCGTTTTTTCTCTATAAATTTTTATACATCGTAATTTTTAATTTTTTTATCTTTTTGTGTTTCAATGAATATCAATAATGATCCTTTTATTCGTTCAAAATCAGAAGCAGGCTTTAGATCCACACCTCAATCTATGCGATCAAGTGCCGTTTTTGCAAAAACACAGCCAGAAACTGTAAAAAATCAACCAGAAACGCCAGATACAGATAGAATTTTAAAAAGTGCTAAAGAAAGCACGCGTAGACCTAAGTCAGCATACACATTTCGCCCACGTGAATGCTTTTTCAATGGCACTTTCAGTAATTTTGGAAAAGATGCACCAAAAATTGCAATTGGATGTAGCAGACCAGAGCCACCAGTTCCACCAGCAACTCCAGGACCTGGTGCTTATGAAATACCACCATTAAGAGATACTCCTCAGCAAGTTACAATTCCTCGATGCGTTAAGTTCAGAGAGCCGCCATCTCCCACTGCAAATGTAGAGCTTGTCAATACTAGATCCTTCCCGCAGATGCGTGCATGTTCCATTGCACCAAAAACAGGAAAATCTTTTTATGATTACATCGATTCTCCTGGTCCAAGCTATGTTCCGCCAAGCTCTCTTTCACCGAAAACTCACAAAATTGCAAGCCGTTACGAAACTCGTACTACTTTCGATTCTACTCCAGGACCTGGATCATATAATCCACAACGTGCTGATTTAGAGCGATCTCCTGTATTCTCAATGCATGGTATATCCAATAGAGATGATTGGCTCAAAGAGCTTCAGGCACGACCAGGTCCCGGCCATTATACACCAAAACAAGTTTCAAAATCACAGCCTAGATGGACATTTGGCTCCAAATCACGCAAGAGATCAGCATCAGCACCTCCTATACCTCTTGGTCCTTTCTTGTTTAAAGTTGACTCTTCATTAAACAGAGAAGAATGTTACAACTACATCGAAAAGAAACCTCAACTCAGAGCTTTGATTGAAGACATTTTCGAATACGTCATACTTTATAAACCCGAGGATCCTGTTGCCTGCATCAGGGAGAGGTTTGCAAGCTTGAAAGAAGACAGAGTTGAAGAAAAAACTGATGATTTATCAATGGATATCATTGATTTCACCGAACTCCTCAAATAACTTATTTTGTATTATATTATATGTTTGTATTTTAAAACTATCTTCGGATATGATATATTTTATTTAATAACAAATATAATTCATCATAATTTTTTAATTGAAACACAATTTCCAATGCAAACACTTTGTCATTTGTGCATACATTTATATCACAAATAGTGAAATATGATATTTTAATTAAAATATCTCTGTTGAAATTTATTTGAAAACTAAATCTGTCTTAATGAGTTTTGAGAGATGTAACGAATAAATTATGTTCCACAGTTATTAAAATGTGCCTATAGATTCTCAATAAAATAAAAAAAAAATTAAATTGATAAAATTCATGATAAAAAATTTATAAAAAACAAATAATATATAAAATAATAAACTAATGGAGTATGTGACGTAGCATGTATGTATGATTCAAACGGAACTTCTATTAAAAATCTAGATATTAGACATAATACTCCAAATTCTCTAAAATAAAGCATTAAGAAGATAAGTTAGATGGTTAAAACAGTTAGATGATTGTATCTTAGAATATTCTATGGATAAAGATCTTTTCTTCTCCAATATTAACATTATTTGGAATTAATGTGGAAAAGCTAAAGCTTTGTTGCGTTCAATCATCTCATTTATAATTGCTTGATCTCCGAGCTTTCTTGGATAAAATATTTTCAATAAAAGTATTAAAATTAGGCAAATTGTGCAGAAAATGGCAATAACAACAAATAGAATGCCAAGAAATGTGTTCTTTAAGCCTAATAATGAGTCCTTTTCTAATATAATATATTTCTTTCCGTCAAAAAAAGAAGCCGGATAATTATTTTTGATTTGTATTGTGAAATTTCCTGTCTGAAGCTCACAACTTCTACATATTGAATAAGTTTTGACAATCGTTGGAGTAGCTGAAGCTCTCATCCATTCAATAAAATGTTCGTTTGTCTGAGCACCAGGAAATAACGTATTATTTTCTAGCCATTTGTTTCCTGTAGCATATTTACTATTTAGTGGTTTATATATTGAATCGACTTCGTATTGATCTGTAATTCCTGTTTCTGAGAAACCAGGATCTTCTGATTTAATAGTAAATGTATCGTTAAAGATTGAAACTGCAGATAGACCGCATGGAAGTATCCAATCTGATTCTGACTCCGAATCATCTCTTGATCTTAAAGGTTTGCATTCATACATGTCTGAGAAATCAACGTATTTTCCTCGTAATTGATCTATATTTCTTGATTTCATAAACTGATTATGATTTTGATGAAAATTTGTTAATTTATATTTAATTCGAATATCGCCTCTGATTTTCGCTTCTATTTGAAAGTTGATATTGCATACATTTCCGATTGTGCATGCGTCATCATATCTTTTTTCGAAAAGCGGTACGTCTATAGTTAAAACTAAAAATAACGGGCCGCAAATAAATGAAATGATAGCAATAACTCCAAGAGTCACTATCATCCTTGCTGGCGTGAGCATGGGATGCCATGCAGGTAGTTGTTGCTGGGTAAATAAAGATTTTTGCGTTGAAAAAGTCTGAAAAAAAATTTTATAACAAACTTTCAAAAGAAGATTTTTCAGAAACGTGTTTTGTCAAGAACTTGATATCGACAATAGATCTGCGTAAACATTTCAACAAGCTTTGATGTATTATATTCTCGTAGTAGGGTAAATATGGGTTTGAAATTTATACAGGTTTTTCAAAATTATTTCATATTAAGAGAATTAGATATAAAATTGAAGAATGGCGCACCTTGTATTGAATTGCTACATGTTTTTGGTAATAGATGAAACTGTCCTCAGCAATAACTTGTAAATTTGACAATGAAGGAATGAGATAAGAGTATTTATTAGATTTAGGAACATGAGGAAAGGAATAATGCTAAGCGAATATCATGCAAATCAAAAACTCTTGTCAATCAGTTTAGAATGTTCATGGAAATGAAAATCATAATATTCTTCTAAATTTACAATATACTTTGAGACCATTTACTTTTCATGAATCAATAGAGTATCAAATGCTGCTAGTAATGATGCATTCAACATAGATATTTTACATCGAGCGAAACGAGAAAAATAATTGATTCGCCATTTCCTTATCTGGCAAAAAAGGTACATTCACTAGGCGATAACAGTAAAATGGGATGAAAATAGGATAAATAGCATCCCTATATAGTGCCTAACAATATTTATACGGGCCAAAAAAATTTGGCTAGAGATTTGGCGAGTTATAAAACTTAGAAAATTGAGAGGGATTTTTATTTTTGAATTTTTTTTGGAAAGTTAAAATTGCGATTAAAAATCGATTTCCAGGAGAACTAAGCATCTCATCATATATTTAAATCGATAAAAATATTAAATAATAGTTGAATAGTATAACAACGTGAAATTATGGCTGAATCTACAGAAAAAATGAACATATTTGACATTTTTGAAAATTCATACGTTAGATGGTGACAGACTCATAAACTATACTTTAGCTAAGATTGATATATGGTTTCAACAACACATGGTTAAAATCGTAAAAATATTTTAGATTTCAAAAAGATATATATGGTAATATAATGGAACAGAGTCAGCAAATAGCATGTAAAATATGTTATAATTAACTTTTTATTAGATCCAATAGTAGATATCGAATGGTTTCCAGCTTTATGGTTAAATATTTTCTTTTCGAGCTTCTCTTTAACTGTTGTATTAAGGTTGTAAATTTTTGATGCTAGAAACTATGGAATCTTCTTTGCTGCAGCATTTTTCTTGAGAGTTCTTGCAATTTCGAATAGATCTGCGCATTGTATGAAATTGAGGCTTTAAAATATCTTGAAAACAGAATAGGACTGCTTTTCCAAAGGAATGCTTACTTGTAAATCAGAGAGTTTCAAAATTGAGAGCAAGATTATCATCATAACTTTCGATTTTGCTGCGAAAAAGGAAGACAAGTAATTAACAAATCATTTACTGTTGTTCATCAAAAGAAGAAAACTTTGATAACAACTAATGATGATAAAATCAAGCTATCTTTTAATATTTTAAATTGATAAGACATTCAAAATATTTGAATGGTTTAAAATATTTTCTTTTAATTTCTATAAGATATTATCATGATTATATAATAAAATTTAAATTTTTATTCAAAAAGGCAATATTTCAAACTTTTAATTTCAAAAATCTTAATTCTGCAATAAGTGTATTTAATTGTAGCAAATTTAATGATCCTTCGTCATGCTTAGCAATTTGGAACTCATAAATTAATGATTTCTTCAAGTAAAATTCTGCATTATTTCAAAAGTCAATAATTCTCTAGTAACTTTTCTTCAAACCCTAACCATTATATTATAGGTATAATGGAGAATAATTGCAAAGAAAGATAGCCGAATTTACTGGGTAGTTCTTGTGATGCGAAATAATTGCAAATTAACACCTAGTTTTAACAGCATCAATCTCTTTTTGCTCTCATTTAAATGCATTCGCACACTTTAATTTTGAAATATAAGAGTTTTGGAAATTATCAAATTTATCTGCTCAAATACTATAGATCTTCATAAGTGTTAATAGAATCATTAGCCTTACATATAGTGTTTAATATAATGATGCACATTATACTGGGATTCATTCCTTATTCATCTAGTTATTATAAGATTTACAACCCCATGAAAATTTAAAATTTTGTCAAAAATAGTGAATGTACCTTTCTGGCAAATTAAGAAAAATGTATATGATGTCATTAGGATGCTCTAGTCGGAAACAAAAACATAAAATGTTTACATTCAATTGAATTCTGCTTACAAAATTTTTTATTTTGAAAAGAAAACTCAAATCTTCAAAAAGATAAAAAATGACGTTTTCAATTGATGCCCTTCGCGTAGAACTATATCGTCGACGTGAAGAGTTTGGACCTCTTCCAAAAACAGGTAAGAGCTATGATATAGCAATAGTAGAACATAATTGGTACAAATCGTTAATTCGTTTCATCAAAAATTCCAATGTTCCTATTCCTGGTCCAATTACTAACTACGAATTACTATCAGGGAACACATTAAAACCAAATATTGTCTATAAAGTCGATTATAACGCAATTCCTGTTGAAACCTTCAGATACTTAATTTCCATCTTTAAAGGAGGTCCTGAAATCATTAGGAAATACTCCATTCATCCGAGAACTCTCGATAGTTGTATAATTTTAGAGCCAATAATTTTACGTATCCAGCCTGAAAGCCATGCATGTGTTACAAAAACAGTTGATCCTGATTGGATTTTCGCTGATCTAAAGCCTCATTTATGCAAGAGTTTATTAGTAAATCCACAAGATTTCATTTTCGCAAATAAATTACGAGAAAAGATAGATGAAAATGAGAAAATTGGTGATTACGTAAGAAACCATGGTAATCTGGTTCGTTTAACAAAGCATTTACGAAATGCTCACTCATCTTTGTTAGCAACGCTACCATTAAACTTCAAACCAAAGGCGAATCAAAATCTTACTTTCGTATGTTCGACATTACCAATTCACACATTTACTCCTATGCCAATTGGTCTGCTAAATCTAGGAAACACTTGCTTTTTAAACTCAGCCATACAATGTATTGCACATCTTAGACCATTGTACAACTATATTTTATCACCTACTTTCGATTTGGCTGTTGCAAATAACCAAGGCAAGAAAAACAACTGTGGCATAGCCATGGAGTTCAAAAACCTACTTAACATGATGGCTAAAGAAGATACTCCTGTTAATCCACGTGATTTCAGAAACGTTATAATTTCAAAACACAAATCTTTAGCAAATTTCGCAGAACACGATGCGCAGGAAGCATTAAGTGCGATTCTAATAGGCATCCATGAGGATATTTCTATCGATAATAAGTCAATTATATCAGATCTTTTCTTTGGCCAAACAAAGACGGTTATTAAGTGTTCAAACTGTGGTTATTACGAAGATTTAAAGGAAGATTTTATGATTTTGCCACTCCCTCTCCAGGGAAACTCTTTAGACGAGATATTTGAATCATATTGCAAGCCAGAAACACTAGACAAAGAAAATATGTGGTTCTGCAGTTCATGCAAGTCGAGAGTTCAAGCTGTTCGTCAAACTTTCATTGAAAAACTGCCACCAATTTTAATAATCCAATTATCTCGTTTCGAATCCAATGAAAGGAAGAATAATAAGATCATTAATTATCCACCAAACCTAGATTTATCAAGACTCTTCCGAGGAGCCTCTCCGATGCATCTTGTTTCAACAATTTATCATGATGGAACTTTGGATTATGGCCATTACATTTCTGTTACGCTTGATCAAGAGCAGAACAAATGGTACTTGTTTAATGATATGAAAGCATCTCCTGCACGTCCTGGTGATGCTTTTGGACCAAATGCTTATATTCTTTTTTACCAAATATAGATTTTTTTTTATTTTTTGTTTGTTATAAAGTTTATTTTTGTATGTAATTTTCCCATTTTTTTTTAAAAAAATATTCATTTTTTATCTGAAATTGAATAATCGACCATTCAATTTTGGAAAATATTTATTTTTTGCGATATCGCTTTTAAAAATTTTTCTGAGAATTGATCGGAACTATAGATTTTAATTTTAGATAAAAAATGAATATTTAAAAGAATACCTCAAATGTACTGTGTTAAAATGTGTTTTGTTTTCTGATCATTGATCCGAAAAGTTTAACCTCCAAAGTTCATTTTTTTTATTCATGTTGAGCTTTTTATACGTTTGTTGTTTGTCATTGAAAATAGCAATCAATGACATCGAATACGAAGGTAATTCTCTTGATGATATACTCGATAAAAACAAAATCCAGAAAGATTCAGTGAAAACTCTTCACGTTTTATCAGGTGATTTTGACAGAGGGGGCACAAACTTGCCCAGTGAGGTGAAGTGAAAAGTGACAGGTTTACATGTCAGAAATGTAAAGTGTTAGATTTGAAACAAAAAATGGATTAATTTATTATTATATGATAGAGAGATTTGGTAAGTTACTATCAAATTTGTAAGTAAGGGAAAAAAAGTAAGAAAGAAAAAAAAATTTTTAAAAAATAAAAAGCCACTCGCTTCGCTCGCGGTTGACAAAAAGAACAAATTCGAAAAAAGATTGTATGAAATTACGAAACTAAGCCGCGAGCGAAGCGAGCGGCTTAAGTAAACAACATATTTCAGATTATCGATACTAAAAATTTGCCCAGCCAGTAAAGCATTCAATTTTTTTTGCATTTTTTTAAAGCTTCTTAACTTAAATCATGGAATGTCTCAAAGACAAAAGTAGCATACAGCATGTAAAGCTAAAGAAAGATAATCATAATTAATACCTTAATTTTTAATATTACGCATTTTTAGGTGCAAAATTTAAAAACATTCTAATACAATAGAGCAGTTTCCAAAAGTAGCATACAGCATGTAAAGCTAAAGAAATATAATCATAATTAATACCTTTAAAGTTTAAAATCTTGATTTTTTTTAAAATCAAATATTTATAACTTTAATACATACAGCTTAAACCTTATACTTGTTTTCTCTTGTGAGAAAGCAATCTTACAAAGCTAACAATCCTAAAAAATAAAGAATTAAAATTTAATAATTTAATCTAAAATTAAAATCAAAATTAAATAAAATGAGTTCTTTGTAATAATACTTTCAAGGTAGGATATATTTTAGTGGGATCTATTGAGTCATCACTAACAGCATTGAGCAATCTATTGAGCATTGAAATACTCTCGATTTTTCTTTGTCTTTTTACATCAATTTCTGCGTTAGTTGCTTTTTCCATGATCTTAATGACACGGTCATCTGCTGGATTTTGATCAATTTTGAGTTTGATAACGAAAGATGGTATCACTTTTGTATAAATTTCTATAATAACATCATCAATTCTGAGATTTTTTCGATCAGGAAAATAGTCATGTTTGAGTGTTCTAAAATGAGCTTCGGCAATATTGTTAGTTGCGTCGCCTTCACGCCTGTCACGAGCAATCCATATTGATATGTTGTAACGCCATTGTCTGTTAAAGTATTGAGATGCTGTTGGATCTGTGTCGAGCAACTCCAGAACTTGATCATAGGCAGCATTTGCTTCTTCCTCATGTTCTGCATCTAATTTGAAGACTAAATCCTTCATCAAATTATAGAATTGTTCAAATTTTTCTTGAGAAGAAAACTTATTTGATTTGCGAAGAATTGCACGAAGAACATGTACTCCGCACCAAAGTATTTGAGCTTGTGGAATGCTTTCTTCTATTGCTTGAGCTATCTGTGGAGCACAGTCCATGCTAATGTATTCTGGCTCAATTGTTACCCATCTGAGATAGGCGCACACGCAAACTTGAATGTTTTGATAAGTGTCTGGTTGACAAAAGAAATATAAAAAAGGGAAAATGTGAAAATCTTTGATTTTGCCAGTAAATGCATACAATGGAATGTTTGATCGCAACAATTTATAGGTGCTGTCTATATGAAATGTCTTGATACTATGCGCATAAGCTTTGCCTTCAAAAGGCGCGTAATAGAAACACATATTATTGTCTGAGACTTCAAATGCAATGAGATCATCTGGAGATTCTTCTTGTACTGTCTGAACAAAGATTTGCAATGACACAACATCGTCAGGAGAATATCTAGTTTGAAGAGCATGTATTCTCTCTGCAAATCGTTTGATTGCACGTGGTTTTTGAGCGTACATCTCTGGAATGGACGGACCTGTAAGAGGAATTTCAAGATCTTTGAATGCATTTAGCTGTGCTATCGCTCTTTGATTGTCATCTGTTTGGAAGTAATGTTCTAAATATTTGCGATAAAAGACAGACGAATATTGACTTTTGTCATTTGGGGCGGAATGATCATGTTCTTCAACTATTTTGATTAGTTTGTATTTATTTTGATCCAAGATTGCAACATTAAAATGTGCAGGACATTTTGGATATTTGCAGTGGAATGAAATCTGAGATCTTTCTTTCCTGACACGTTCACCATATCCATACTGTGCTTGTATTTCTTGTTTAACTCCAAATTTACAAAGATCCATAACAGTAAAGATAGTTTCTTCTTCTAATTCCATTTGAAATTGAAATGAAAATTAAAAATTCAGAAATTTGAATAGATTTGGTCTGTAATTAAATGAGAATAGCAGTTTGTTCGTCATTGTTTGAGGCAAGAGTATTATAGGAATATTATATGATGTATTTGAGTTGCATATAAAGAGTGCAAAAGGATAAAGAGAGAAATTTTGTTAGATTAAATTATTAAATTTTAATTCTTTATTTTTTAGGATTGTTAGCTTTGTAAGATTGCTTTCTCACAAGAGAAAACAAGTATAAGGTTTAAGCTGTATGTATTAAAGTTATAAATATTTGATTTTAAAAAAAATCAAGATTTTAAACTTTAAAGGTATTAATTATGATTATATTTCTTTAGCTTTACATGCTGTATGCTACTTTTGGAAACTGCTCTATTGTATTAGAATGTTTTTAAATTTTGCACCTAAAAATGCGTAATATTAAAAATTAAGGTATTAATTATGATTATCTTTCTTTAGCTTTACATGCTGTATGCTACTTTTGTCTTTGAGACATTCCATGATTTAAGTTAAGAAGCTTTAAAAAAATGCAAAAAAAATTGAATGCTTTACTGGCTGGGCAAATTTGTCGCCGCCCCATTTTGACATGAAATAAGGATGTCAATTTGGAAGAAAAGTGAGAAAATTCCTAAAATGCTAAAAATGAATTTTCCAAACGTATTTTTTTATCTCATTTTTGAGAAAGGGACAGACTAGCCCATTGTCACTTTTTAATTTAGCAAATGAACGCTTATGGAGTGGAGTTTTTGGGTAAATCTGATTTGCTTATAAATGAAATAAAATCAAAAGAAACCATATTGGCATTATATTATGCAAAAATAAATGATCTTACTTAGTACTTTTAAAGTTAATTTCAGAAAAAAATTGACACAATGGTATCCGGCACATACAAGTGGTGTATAACCAAAATATAAGTTGGTTTAAACATATATTGCTATATCTCATGATCTTACTTAGTACTTTTAAAGTTAATTTCAGAAAAAAATTGACACAATGGTATCCGGCACATACAAGTGGTGTACAACCAAAATATAAGTTGGTTTAAACATATATTGCTATATCTCATGATCTTACTTAGTACTTTTAAAGTTAATTTCAGAAAAAATTTGACACAATGGTATCCGGCACATACAAGTGGCGTACAACCAAAATATAAGTTGGTTTAAACATATATTGCTATATCTCATGATCTTACTTAGTACTTTTAAAGTTAATTTCAGAAAAAATTTGACACAATGGTATCCGGCACATACAAGTGGCGTACAACCAAAATTTCATATCCCTAGTTTTACATTTATGTTTAGTTTTATTTCACCTAATTTTCAAAGATCATAATTGAATTAGATGGCCAAGCTATTCAAAACACGACCAAGCTTATCAAAATAAGACCAATATATTCAAAATTCTTTATTCTTTCAAATCATTTCATTTTAATGCAGATCCAAGATCACGAACTCACATGTATCGAGTTGCTTAAGTATGGAGTGCAACAAGAAATCCAAGCAGGTTGTAGTTATTCATATAAAACTAGGAAAGAAAGAAATCAAATCCAATTTAATTGTAAGTGGCCGAATTGTCCATGTCGCTTCCTTGTTGATACACTTCCCGATGACAAGTACCACATACGAAAATGTATTAACACCCACAATCATTCTGCCTCTTTTCCAAACAAATCACATTATATTTTTCTAGATCTTATTTAACAAGATATTTTGAATCAAATCAAGACCGTGTTTACGCACAATTAAGGTGTTTCAAAGATCTTAATATCCCATTTGATAGTGGGATCATTCCGGAAATGTTTCAACAATCTACAGATGCTTTAAAAAAGTTTTCTAAACGCCTTCATGCAATCAATACCCGTTTCTCAGCGGATGATGTTACATCTCTTGCAATTTTTGTCGACATGGTTAAGAGTCATTCTCCGGATGATCTCATCGAGTTTATTCACGAGCCAGATCGTATGATTTTCTATTACGCCCCATTCGAAGCAAATGCTTTTTCACATCAAATACAAACTTATCACATTGATTCCACTTATAAGCTCTTGCGCTCTCGCATACCATTTTATGCCGTCACTGGCAAATTCGCGGAATCAATTATTTTTCCGTTTTTGTATTTTTTCGTTTGGCCCGACACAAGTGAAAATATACAAGTTTGTCTCACAGCATATTTTGGCTCCATCAATCGCGAACCATCTTATTTTGCAATGGACTGCGCACCTCAAATCACAAATGCTGTTGAAACAGCCATCCCCTTATGCCAGATCATTTGGTGTGGCGTTCATGTGTTGCGCGCTGTCATGAGAAAGGCTGAAAAGTTTCAAGATCGTTCCAACTTCGAAACTTTCTATAACTTAATGAAGTTATTGGTCTTTGGTTCTGAAGAGGAAGAAATTGATCCTGATGAAGTTTACAACAATTTAGAAGAAATTTTAAATGAGGAACCTGCTGCCCGTGAATACTTTGACCGACAGTGGCGCCATCATCTTGACAGGTGGATGCTTCGCTATAGAAATGAAGGAGATGGAACAAACAACATCTCGGAATCACATTTCAAGGTTTTGAAGCACCAGTACTTCCCAGAAAGGCAAAATCTTCGACTCGATGAACTTGTCATCGAGTTATATTCCAGTGTTGTTCCTTCATTCCTGATTAAGTTGCAAATTAAAGGTCTGGATTCAGAGAGAAGTGTTAAAGTTATCAAAAAAGTCACAAGAGATTTCGAAGAAATGACACAATTTAAAAAAGTCGAATGCATCAGTATGCTTGAAGCTGTTCAGAAAGGTCTGAAAAATGATACACTTGATCCCAACATTGTTTACTCAACATTAAAAATATTATTGCAAAGAAAACATTTGATTTAATAAACATTTAATTTATTATAATTAATTTTTTTATTACAGTATAGTAAAAAAAGTTAGTATACATATCTTGTGTACGGAGGCACTGCGAGCCTCCTTACCCATTATATGTGAATCTGACACTTTACAAAACCATTAACGTATATTTTACAACACAAACGACAACACTAACTTAACATTAAATATTTACAAAGCCGCCAACCACTTCACTTCACTAACGTTTTCACAAACGACTTCATTAATGTAAAAATAAACGTTCTCACTTACAAAAGTATTGCAACTCCTCCCATTGCTGTGCTTCACATAACAGCTCATAATCTTCTGACTCACTTTCTTCTTCATATAGGTCAAAATCACTGTCAAAATAAATGTTAGTAAGTTTTGACAAAGCTAATGAAACACGTTTACCGTTTGTATCGTATGCTTGTATAAACTTTCCATTCTTCATTCCTTCATAAATGCTTAAACTAACTTTACCCTTTCTCCCTCGTATCTGATAGAGTGTTATTTCACGAGGAACGAAGAACAAGTTCTTGAACTCATGACCGTTGTAGTTTGTTATCTCAATAGTTTTCGTCATTACATCCAAATAAAAATTTTCAGTAAAAATAAAACTAACGTTAAAATTTCTCATAACATAAACGTTCTCATTGCTTTATAACTCTCTTCCTTGGTTTCTTTTAGTTGCTTTCTTCACGTCTGTCTCCAACTTGACTGTCTTTCTTCTTCGTCCGTAATGATACCAGTACTTCCACCAGTCAATGGGTCAAATGGTCTTTCGTAAGGATTTCCATACATTCCATAGGGACCATACGGAAGAACTACTGGTGGAGAAGAAACATTTTCTTTAGTTCCATCGAATCTATTTAAATGCATTGTTTCACCTTTCATCTGGTCATTAAAGTCTTTTGCGTGTTTTGCAAACTCATCGTCCTTTCCTAAAGCATTTTCTGACTCAGTCGCAACCAAATTGGATGCTTTATTTATGAGCCCTATTTTATTTAATCTTAACTTCTTTGCAACCCAGCCTCCAATCTTCCCTTTATTTGCATCTAATGTCTTCGAAACCCTTCCTCCACTCATTTTATTTACTGCGTCATAAGCCCCAAGTGCTTTTGCTCAAATGCTAATGCTTTTGTTCCCATTGCGCCTAAAGCTGTCCAAGCTACCATTTACACCATATTAAAATCATCTCTCTTCAATATTATCTCATAAAAGTTCTCGTTACTGGAGAAAGTCAATGAAACATAAACATTCTCATGGACTTCGTCCTCGCCGCGTTGCGGCTTCATAAACTTCTTTCTTATCTCATCTATTCTCAATAAAATATCTGAACAATTGCTAACATCTTCTACAACAGTTATTTCATCATGAACGACCTTTAAGAACAAGCTCATTTAATATGCAATTAAAATCATCTCAATAATGAGTCCATCCTTTCCATCTTTAGGTAGCACAACATCTTTCATTGAAGAAGGTTCGACAAGTCTTATGTTAAACTTACTGACAAAGTTTGTTATACTATAATGCTTCGGCGGCGAATACATGTAGTTTGAAAGACATAATATAGATTCTTCAGCAAATTCACTTATACTGGATTTTATAACAATGTTCTCACGAGACCAAACGCCACCAATTGACAATCTTGTAAGCAATCCTGCTGAGCCTTCAACTGTAAACGTCGATGGTAACATTCCACGAAGGTCATCTATTGGCATCTTTGAGTCACTGTATTTAAATATTTTCTTAAAGCAATCGTCATTATCTAACCATGCAATAGCTTTGAAGTTTTCATTCGAATATACATCTGCTTCATTAAATGTAAAACCTGACTTCTTTGCAGAGACGATTTTAAAATCTATTGCATTTGTTTCAAAATTATATGCTATGGTAACTTCTGAAGGTAATGGATGTCCTTCCGCAGTCAGTTGTTCTTTCAATACCGTTTGAAGCTTTGTGTTAAAAACTTTCATGTCATCTCCTGTGTCTAGGTTCACATACACAGCAACAGGAAAACTATCTTGCTTCTTTGTTTCATCATTATATCTCAAAACATTAAAGTTCTTCAATAATATTGTTCTTCCTGCTGGAATACTTCGAACCTGTCTTATTTCAATAGCTTTCTCACCTCCTACATACTCTACCCAGTGTCTTGGATATTCATAAGTATACTGACTTTCTTGAATTTTGGTAGGTTTCATCATAACGTGTTCATAGTATATCTTTATACTCTTGTCAGTTAGACTCGGTGCTATGTTCTGAATATTTCTGACTTGCATTTTTAATGGAGATAAAATGAAGCATTTAATACATGACGTAGATGAAGACATGAATGAAACTACAGACAAACTTAACTCTTCTCTCATTCTTCCTTTCAGCACAAGGACTATGAGTTCTGTTCAAATGGTGTGTATTTCTATTGTGGAAAGATGGGTTCAGGTAAGACATTTAACCTCATTCGTCATATACTCATAACAGAACGTTTAGGAAATGACTCATATTATGACCAAATCATTATATCAGCAACTTCAGACTCTATGGACTCAACAGCGAAAACATTTATGTCAAAAGTTCAAGCCTCTGTCGTTAAAGTTCCAGACAGTGAACTCATTGAATTTCTTCAACGTTACATTCGACGTAAGAGGAAATATTATGCCATCGTTGAATTTATACAGTCAGGAATGCAAAAGACTTCTGAGGAGATGGAAAGAATTATTGACAAACACCACTTACGTCAATACTCAGGAGTTTACGATATGAAACGACTTACAAACTACATTCTGTCAAAACTTTCAAAATACCCCTTCAAAAAGTATCCTTCAAACACTCTGCTCGTTTGCGACGACTTCGCCGGAAAAGGTTTAGTGTCAAAGCCTGACTCACCATTAGCTAACATCATAACTAAAGTCAGACATTACCACTTAACTGTAGCAATACTTATGCAAACATGGCGTTTCCTTGCTTTAAACATAAAACGTCTCATAACTGACTTCGTTATCTTTCAAGGTTTCTCACGCTATGATATTGAACTCATTTGGAAACAGTCAGGTATAACATTACCTTTTGAAGAAATTTGGGAAGCATATAAGTCTCTCATCTCTCCTCGTTCATACCTTGAGATTCATATCATGACTAATACCATTAAAGTCAAAAATATTCCATGGGAACGACCAACATTGTTTTAAAGTTTAACCTTCAATTGACTGATGGTAAACAAATTCCATGCATCTCTGTCGCCATTTCTGTTAATATTTTTGCTGTCATTCATATCATCCACTTCCCCATCCGTTAGCTTTTGAGGATATGTGTTAGAATAGCTGTTCTTAAATGAAGGCTTTTCACCTTTGAGAGCATAAACTCTATAACTTTCTGCATACTTTATGTTTGAACCTCCTGAGCCATCATTGACATAAATTTTTATAGGCTTCCACCCTTTGTTCATGTTCCTGCTTCTTCCCTTAGCTCTTTTGTTCAGTAGTTCTACATCTTTATACACAGCTCCTGTCTCAGTGAATTCAACAATATTTTCATTCGTTAGCTTTACATTCAAACCCTTGTCGAGTATATTGTTCATTTCATACATATAAAAGGTTTTTATTCTATATGAAATGAGAAGCAAATCCATCTTAGCTGGTGCCGTTAATGTTCCAATTGAACCAACATCAAATGTTGACTCACGAACGACAAACAATATTGTCATAAAGAACTATAGTTCAGAGTGTTTGAAAGAAAAAGAACCAGAACTTAAGTCGGGAGGGCTCAAAGAGCCCATCTTGGCGCATGGCGCCGTGAATTTAAACTCAGCTTCAAACGCTAACGCTACATCAGATGTTAAGTTAGAGTATCCACCACTGGACCAAATTCTTTCAAGAGAAGCCAACGACAACCCTTACACAAATGTTCAAACAAATCCTTCAGATAACGTAGACCATTACCTTCTTCAGTTATACCAAACAATTTTACTCAAAGACGATAAGAAGCTTTTGACAAATCTTATAAGCAAGAACCAAATAATTCTAACAAAGGAGGACCTTGAAAATGTTATCTCACGAATAACAGGGAAACAATGTGTCATTGACTATCTCGACCCTGAAATCGAATGCTGTGGTCAAACTCCACTATTCATGAAAATAGGTAACATCCGCATCATTGAAACACCAGGAACTACAGGAGTTGAGTTTAAGTATAAATATTCGAACGAGTATACAAAACTTTCAACAGAATATAAACTTTGTTTGAAATATGTTTTAGTAAATTAAAGCAATTTGTAATATCTATCCAAAACTTCTTCAACAGTATCGAACTCATCTTCATAATGCAAACCTAATCTTATTGACTTGGTGCAGTTTTCACTAACACAATATAGCGCTTTGCGCTCGGCGCCTTTGACGCCTTTTTCTGTTCTCTTGACTGACATAACTAACTCATTTGTTTCATCAAACAGCAACAACCAAAGTTCATGACCTAATACATAACATTCATACTTTATATTTTTAGCTCTGAGTTCTCTTGTAAGCTGTTGCATTTAATATTTTCTAAAAAGTCAACTTCAACAGTCATTCGCACTGGTGCCTTCAGTTCTACAGGCTCGCCTTGAAAGTCAACAAGTCTGAATTGCATGTCTTTCAAATTATGAGGACTAATGCGAACCCATTTACCTAAATGAGTTGCTATGACAGGAACGTTTGGAATGAACATTGAATTGACTGCATAACAGAAAGACTTATATTCTACTGAACCTTTACTATTAACTCCTGAAATGCCTGTGACATTAGCTATTTTAGACTCAATGTATAAACAATTGCCATAACATACGTATGGAACAGATTTCATCTCAATCGTTTTGTCAATACTTTTCAAAGGAAATGTCATATGGTATGCTCCCAGAAGCAATTGAACTCTATGACTCATTCGTGTTATCTTAAACTCCTTCGCATAACTGAACTTCAAAACTCCTGCAATAAGTTTAACATTCATTAAGTTTTCTTCGTTATCCTTGTTTATTGTAGTATTTATGAGAGCATTTAACACTCCAGCTAATGTTTCCATCTTATATTCTACATTATTGTGAAATCTTATTTCGTGCTTCTTTCCATCTATTTCAAGCTCCATGAAATCTGTTTCATCTGTTATAACGAATGAAGCGATAGTATTGAAGTCAACAACTCTGAAAGCAAGCGCTTCATTCTGAAGACCTAAGTTTGTTTGTAGCTTTACTGTCCCGTATTCGTTTGGGTCTGTACTTTGCAAATAGAACAACATTTTATTCTCATTAAAATATGAGTATAGCTGCATATGCGTATGAAGCTGACAGAGCTAAACGTTTATATTTTGGTCAATACTCTCTCACACTTACTGACAAATATATTGTTATTTCTGATGGAAATACTGAGAAATACATAACATGGAAGGACTATGAAAAGTTTGACCCTATTTTAACTCCATGTACAATGCCATTCATTGTAAATGGTGAAGTTGTCATGAAGAACGACACAACAGTATATAAGTCTGTTCATGAAGCGTTAGAATATATGTTGAATTATAATCCCGAAAGATTTGACCCAAGCACTACGCCATGTACAATGCCCTTTATTAAGGACGGTGAAATCGTAAGAGTTCCGGATTCAACGGTTTATACTGCTGTTCAAAACAGTTTACAAAACATTTTAGCGAATATCTTTAATTCAGAAACTACAGAAATAAAATTACCATATATAACAGATGCTAAAGAAATTAAATCAAAAACGACAACATTATTTACGTCACTTAATGATTTAATGACTTATATCATTAATATTCCTGCACCAACTACAGCATTTGATCCAAACTCGACGGTTTGCAGTGTACCTTTCATTAACGACAGTTCATTAATTGCTTTAAGGGATTCGACAGTAAATGAATCATTAAAGGCGTCATTAATGAAAATCATTGATTTTAACTCATTCATGAATACATATAATTCATTCATTAATGTTTCATATGCTTCTAAAGAAGGTGAGCCAAAAACTATCAATAAAGCGGTGTATGAAATAAAAGCATCAACGACGAAATTGAATTCGTTAACTTTTGACGGTGATAGTTTCGTTAATGACATAACATCGGGGAAAACAATTTTAACGAAAGAATATTTAAAATCTCATGTTAGTGAGTTCGTTGAAATTGAAAAAGAAGGTGGAATTAAGTTCGATCCACTGAATTTCATTTTCAGCTTAGCGAATGCGGGTGTTAGTTTCGCTGAATGGACAACTATACAGAGTGAAATAAATGCAATATGGACGTTTTTGGGGTCAAAAGCGGGAATGGGTGAGCTTGTAAATGCTGCAAGAACATTAGGTGAAACAGGAAATTTTGTAGATGGTTTTAAAAGACTTGTTTCAAATGTTTTAACAAACACAAAGAAATTATTTAGATATACCATACATAACGGACGAATTTTTGAACAGATAGCAACAAACCCTCCGGTTATGGCTGCGTTGATGATGGTTAGAGATATAAAACCACGTAACGACGGGAACGAAGAACATGAACAACAGAGCCCAACGGGCTCAGAGTCACATAGTGGCGAGGATACTGGTCGGGTTATTCAAGACATTAAAAACGTGTATCCTGAAGTTATTGATTTATTTAGAGGAGTTAATGATTCAATTTCAAAACATTCTATAACCCTCGATGAAGAGAATAAATTAACAGATTATATATTCGTCATTATTGCAGAATTAATGAAGAGAATAAATGAAAAAGGAATTGGTGATATCATTAATGTCAGCGATGTAATGATGAAAAGAAATTTTGACTCATTATTTACAAAACCGAAAACAGAATATAGTCTTTATGACGTAATTACCGAATTAATGAAAAAGATTAATGATAATAAGAGTTCTGGCGGAAGAGTTGAATTAGAAGTGAATGATGTTAATGAGAAATTAGCCGAAAAAGCAGATAAAAACCACGTTCATTATATAACTTCAGACGAACAGATTATAACGGACTACCATGGATATTTAACACGAAGTGATGAAGCGAAGACAAAAAATGTTAATGAAAGAAGATATAAATACATTCGTGCTAAAGGTTATGACATAAGCTGTACTGTACAGTATGATGTAGCTAAAGCACCAGAAGCATTTGGTTATACCGGTGAAATTTATGCCTCTACTTTCAATGTTAACGGTGTATTAGTTGAACCAAGATTTACTTTGAGAGTTAAGGCAAAAATAACGTTTGAAGATGCTATTAAAAGTAAAGCTGACAAAGTTGAACTCGAAGCAACGAACAAAGTTTTGAAATCTCATAAACACAACATCTCCGATATAAATGAACTTCAAGCTACATTAGACAGTAAAGCTGACAAGAACCATACACATAAATCCTTCACTACTGTTAGAGCAGACGACATAATATTGAACTTTGACCTTGGTTCAAGTGCACCTTTAGAGAATCCAAGTACAAGCGTAAAAGATACACTAAACTCCTTAAATAACAAATGTATGAATATCGAAGATCATGTCAGAAACTTTGAAACACATGAACTACCAACAATGTTAGATAAGAAAGCAGATAAGAACCATACACATGATTTCTTCACAACTGTTGGTATAGAAAGTATTGAAGGAACGGTTGAAGGAACTGGTGGGGATGCATTATATTGGAAACCTCCTAACTTTCCACAAGGTTTAACATCGGATGACGACATAACGACGATGAAATACATTAGATGTAGAAATGTTTATGTCATGGAGGATGAAAATAATGTTAAATTCACTGCTCAAGATTTATATGATAAGAAAGCTGACAAAACTTATGTGGATGCAGAACTAACAAAGAAATTTTCGAAACCAGATACAATGACATTTACAACAGAAATTATAAATGGTGAACCAGCAACTCCATTTGAATTTGTTAGAGGTCTTCAACCAGATACTTTTGAATTTTTCTTGGATAATTCTATTGAACTAACATTACATTATAAAAGTGGAACAAATGCAACATTTCATCCGGGAGATACATTCCAAATGGTATTTAATGACATAAGTTCTTTAGAATATGTTTATAGAGTTATGAGCATATATGATTTAATATATCCTATAGGAGCTGTTTATACGTCTATGAATCCAATAAATCCAAACACTTTATTTGGTGGTAGATGGTATGAAATAGTTGACAGTTTTCCATTCTACACTAATACGCAGTCAATGAAGATGGGAGGTTCAAAGAAAATAGGTATTGAAAACCTTCCTTCACATATGCATAGGTTCAGTGGAAGAACATCTGTGGAAGGAAACCATTCACATTCAATAACAAAAAGAGGTTATACAAATCTTGCAGCGGGTTCGGATAGACAGGGAATGCATAGATATGATATCACAACTGACCCCAAAGATGTTAGCACAGGTATTTTCTGTGGAACTGCAGGAAATCATACACATGTTGTAGCTGGTATTACAGACCCAGCAGGTAATGGAAAAGATTATATGCCTCCTTATATAACAATGCACGCTTGGATACGAGTTGGTTAAAATCTTTAACTTTACATAAATGAGCTTGAAAGAAGTATTCGAACAACATCCATGGAGGTCATTTAAGAAATTCAATGAAGCTGCAAAGAGTTGGGGATTTACTAACAGAGCTGAAGTGAAAAGGTTCTTTGACAAAAATGTTGTACATCAAACAAAAATAAACCCTTACGACTACTTTTTACCAATTTACTCCAACACTCCTGACGCATACCAATTTGACACTCTCATTCAAAGCAGAAAAGGAGGACATAAACCATTCCTCATCTTCATAAATGTTAACACTCGTAAAGCATATGCATATCCAATGAAAAATAAAGGAACTCGTGAAGTGTTAAGAGTTTTACAAAAGTTTGTAGCAGAACATAACCCAAGTACTTTAACATCAGACCAAGACAGTGCATACCTCAGCAATGAAATCACAGAATTTCTCATTAAGCATAACATAACTCACTACACTACTGAAGACCATAACCATAACATACTCGGCATCATAAACCGCTTCATAAGAACGCTCAGAGATTTAAATCAAGAGCGAGACTTTACCGAAGAAACAATGAAACATTTTCTCGAAGTATATAATTCCTCAACACATTCTACAACAGGACATACACCAAATTCAATGACACAACAACAAGAAGAAAAGTATATACAAAAGAAACGAAGCCAAACACAAAATATCAGAAATTCAACAAAATTTACCCTCATTCCTGGAACAAAAGTTCGTGTAGTTCTTGACGACAAACCGTTGACAAAGAAACGTTTAAGGTTAAGTCGAAATTATTATATCGTAGACTCTACGCAAGGTAATGGATATCTTATAAAAGCTGCTGACGACTCCATAGCATTTTACCCTCGACATAAATTAGTCGAAAGTAGTAATGGCGAACTTGCTGAAACCATTGACGAAGCAAAGCGAGGAGTGGTTATTGAAATACTTGACTACAACATAAACGATGACACTTATAAAGTAAGATATGAAGGAGGCGTTGAAGATGTTATACCATCTAAGAACTTGAGAGAATCTAAACCAACTCATCTGGGACCATTAGAGCGGGAGTACTGGAAAGATAAAAACATGCCAGAAAGAATAAGAAAATTCTTCTAAACTTTTTCATTAGATGTAAATCAGACAAAATATATTTTAGGTGAAGAGGTGCGATCTCACCTGTTTTTTCACCTCTTTTTTCACCTCTTGAATTTTCATGAATTTCCTTAAGATAGAAAAATAAAGTTAGTTTTATTTTATTTATTTTTTTATTTTGTATGTAAGAACAGAAATGTCAGTCGAAGCAAAAACATTCACGAACAAATCTAATGGTGAAACATTCACAAAAGGCACTTATAACGGTATTGAAGTCTTACGTAGAGACAAGGATGGTTACATTAATGCAACAAATATGTGTCAGCAGTTTAGGAAAGACTTTAGAAAGTTGTTGGAAAATAAGTCCTGGGAAGAGTATTATAAGGCATTTTGTGAAGAATATAGCAACCGCCGGAATTCAGACTGTTGCTTTTTATACAAAATTCATGCAGGAATTCCTGATGAAATCAAACAGGTTAGAGGAACGTATGTAGACCCAGGACTTATAAACTATATAGCAATGTGGGCTTCTCCAAAATATTGCATAGCAGTTGGAAAAATTATGGACTCCATAGACAAGAAAGTTCATGAGAAGTTAGATGAAGAAGAACTCGAAGATACAGTAGAGAATGCTAAACCTTTGTTCGAAGAAGAAGTTGGAAAAATGTGTGAAAAACAATTAGAACATGAACGTGAGATATGTTATGGTTATAGAGATTCTCCATACGAACTAGACCAATGGGAACAAGAAGATTTAAAGAGAGAATTTAGAGAATATGAACTCGCTAAGATAGCATTTGAAGCTGCAGAAAAGAAGTTAAAAGTTTGGGGTCGTTTTGTAAAAAAATATTGTGAGTAAATGAACCATTTATTTTTATTGAATTCACCAAAAATAATGTTTAGGTGAAGAGGTGAGATGTCACCCGTTTTCTCACCCGTTTTCTCACCTCTTGAATTTTCATGAATTTCCTTAAGATAGAAAAATAAAGTTAGTTTTATTTTATTTATTTTTTTTATTTTGTATGTAAAGATATGATTTCAACAATCGGCACAACAACAATTCAAGCCGCGAACGGCGGGACTCTGTCCACAACAACTTCACCAAACTCGTTAGTCATGAATCCAACATCTATGTTAGTAGAGATGGAAAGCTTCATTCCTTCTTCATTTACTTTCGAAACAGAAATCCAGAAGATAAAGCAAGAACTTTTAACAAATAATTTAGACTGTAGTGCGAAAGATGAAACAAATGAACAGTATCTTTATGAAATGCAGGACATTATTGACCATTTACCCAAATTGCCTGAAATTCAGCATCAAAAACTAACTATTCCTGAATTCGACGAAATTGAAGTCAAAGCAACTGACTCAGTAGAAATAAAGAAGTTCATACGTAAAGTAAATTATGAATTCCTTGGTTTTCATTGCAACCATAAGGTTATGGACAAAGATTGCGACATGGTATATAAGAATGTTTCTGACATATATAAATCTGAAGAATTTAAGACTTACGATAACTTTGTTTCATTAGTTGCAAAATGTGTTTGGGAAATAAGAGATAAAGATAGAAGAGGCAAAGTATGGAACGAACAAATAAGACCCGCTATGTTTGAGATGAAGAAAACCATTGACGCTTTAGTTGTTCTAGCAGGTAAGGTTTCAGAATATAATGCAAAAATGAACCCACAATGTTCAAAATGTAAAGCAGCAATAAGGAAATATAACTACTCCGTCAAAGAGATAGAAAGAATGCGAAACGACTATGCTGACTTAAAGAAAGAAGCAGAAAAGCCAGCAGAAGATAAAATGGACATGTTAGCATTTCTGAACAAAAACTATCCAACAGCAGAAGATTTCCTTCTATCTGACGTCAAGAAGAAATATAAAGAGACTTTCGGCATTGTTAAAACATTCGATGTACTAAAAGAAGAAATAGAAGCTACGAAACTGTTTAAGATTTCAAATATACATCGTACAATTCATGTGAAACGCTTATAAAATAACAGGTGAGAAAACGGGTGAGAAAACGGGTGACATCTCACCTCTTCACCTAAACATTATTTTTACTGAATTTAGCAACAAAATTCTGAGTAAAATAATTTTTAGGGCTTGTGTCAAACCGTTGAGTTTTCACAAAATTTAAAAAAATAACGTTTACCATGTGAAACGTTTATAAAATAACAGGTGAGAAAACGGGTGAGAAAACGGGTGACATCTCACCTCTTCACCTAAACATTATTTTTATTGAATTCAGCAACAAAATCATGAATTTCCTTAAGACAGAAAAAATAAAGTTAGTTTTATTTTTATTTATTTTTTTATTTTGTATGTAAGAACAGAAATGACAAACATTGAGTTTGAAACAGTTAGAAAGATAGACAATGACACCAAAGTGGTTAGAATAGGTGATTTAAACGTAAGATACTCAAAGAAATACAACAAATATTCTTTGTCAGACATTATATTTCCATCTGGAAAGAAAACACACGACTGGGTTAGAAATGCTTCAACTCAGAAAATTTTGACAAGAAATCCTGAGCTTATGATATCAGTAAGATTCTATGGAACTACAGCATATCTCATCGACAAAAGTCTTATACCAATAGTTTTGTTATGGTTAGACCCAGTTGTTGGATATAACTTCATAACATATGGTTCATTCAATACGGAACGTTGCAGTGAAGGCTTACTTTACATCGTTCAGAAACCGAAGGACTTCAACACAAAAAGATATAAGATAGGAAGGACATATAATATAACTCAAAGATATGACAGTACAGTCAATAGAGTCAAGGTTGTGTTCGTTAATGATATGAGAGCCGCAGAAACAGAACTACTCGAAAAGTTTGAGAAAATGTATGGTGCTCCCATAAAAGGTAAAGAAACGTTTGAAGTAGATGAGATAGATAAAGCTATAAAATTATTTGACGAAGTTGCTGAAAAATACATGTAAAGCGTTTATTTTTGGTCTTTTGTGAAAGATAGAAAAAATAACGCTAATTTTATTTTTATTTATTTTTTTATCCTGTATGTAAAGACAGATATGTCAACATTAGAGAACACAACAACTGCTATCGTTCATGAAGTCATAAATGAAGAATACGAATACATACAGTATAACAAACAATTGAGACTCATTCGTTCTGTCAAAGACGACATGTACCAAATGCAAAGTATAATGAATGCTCTTCGTTCTACAAAGCAAGCATATCATTGGTTTGAAAACCAACAGACAAAAGAACTTTTAGAAGAATTTCCTCATATGTTTGCTACCCTCGGAAAACCGAGGGTAGAGATTCCGTACGAAAATCGCAAGAATTTGGCTCCTGGTTTGAGAGGATATTATGTTCATAGACTTTTAGTAAATGCCGTAGCAATGTGGGCTTCACCTCGTTATGCTTGTTATATTTTCATGATGTTAGATGAACTATATAAAGCAGAACGTGGAGAGATGGAAAAGAAACTTCAAGCAAAAGATGAAGTCATTGAATCCAAAGACAAAAGCATACAGAAAAGAATACCACGTTCAGTACCAAAAGGAAAGGAAAAGAACTATAAGTATATGATTTACGCTGAAGAGTTGGAAAATGAAGAAGACAGAGATATGGTTATGTTGCATTTAGTCAGAAGAAACAACAAAAGCTTTTATGACCTCGCTAAAATATATAAATCTGACAGAAACTGGTTCTATCGTGAAAACTTACCGATTTCAATGACACCGAATGAGCAAATAAAAGAAATTGTCAAAAATACTCTTCCTCAAACACACTATGACATCAAAGGTTGCACAATACTTACATTCAAAGAAGACTTAACATTACTGAAGGAAAAAATAACAGAATATTTCGATAACTTCAAAGAGGAAGAATGAAGTCACGACAACATTAACGAAGAAGTCACGACAACATTAACGAAGAGAGAAAACAGGTGAGAAAACGGGTGACATCTCACCTCTTCACCAAAAATATATTTTTGCTTAAATGACGTCAGGGTCAATTTCTTCAACCATTTCACTTCCTTCGTCAATGTCAATAGAAGCTTCTTCAACCTTTGGTAAGAACTTTTGTATAACATCTTTGTTCGTTATTGTTTTCAGAGATGAAGAATAATATTTCACAGATGTTTCACCCTTCTTATATTCTTTCTGTTCGGAAAGATTCATAGCAATACTGAAGAAGTCAATGTTAGAGTTCTTTATAATAGTATAATGAGTATCTTTGACATTCACGAAGAAACCCTTTTGTTTCAAAACTACTGCTAACTCTTGTGAAGTATAACGTTTGCGGTCAATGACAATAGCTAATGGTCTGACATACTGACCAAACTTAGATTCTTTCACAAACTTCTTGTTAAAGATAACATTAACGTTTGAAGCATTATTGAACTCATTCTTGATGACAGTAGCGAGAGCATTGTATGAAAAGAACTTGCAATCTTGCATGTGTTTCATTAAAATAAAAATATTAAATTATTTTGAAAAATAACTTAAAAAAATCTAATCTAATTTTTTCAAAAAATATTTTTTTTATTTCCTACTAAAGATGTATCGGAAGTTGTCTAAGTTAGAACACTCGGAAATAAAACAACTTCTTACAGAAGCTAATATAGATGTTGCAAAGCATTACACAACAAACAAAAAGGCACTCGCTGACTTCATTAAAGACTATAATGGTGAAATAACTTATGATAGAATTCATGAGTTCATAAAGCCGCAACGCGGCGAGGACGAAGTCCATGCAAGAGCATTTCCTTTAAATGACGTTGCTATTGACTTATATCATAGACGTTCAATACCTCATGAAGTAAGAAGAGAAATGTTTGACATAACAAATGCAAACGTTGGTCATACTCGTAAAGCTCTTTCACATGACGTTCGTCAAGAGATGTTTGACATAACAAATGCAAACGTTGGTGAAACAAGAAGAGCTGTACCACATGAAGTAAGAAGAGAAATGTTTGACATAACAAATGCAAACGTTGGTGAAACACGAAAGAGAGATGACACACTGAAACAACAGAGAAGAGAGATGTTTAAAAGTGCTATAGAACAAGTTCGCAAAGCTAATAATGTCATTCGTTCCATTGACGACAAACCAAAAGAAGGTGAGAGATGGTTAAAGAAAGATGAAGAAAATAGGAAGAGGAATGTGAAGTCAGGCAATAGACTCATTGACTTTAACATCGAAGCTTTAGATGAACCAAACAGAGACTACTTACACAAACATTTCGGTAAGGTTTTCATGAGACTCTTAGAGAAAATTAAAATAAACTCCCAACAGAGATGGATGGTATGTTATAAACTTGGTGGAAAGTATGAATGTTCTACGTTAAACCTCAATAATATTGGAACATTACTACATCAGCTCTTGAAGGAGAACTTTATATCAGAGATAGAAGCAAATGCTGCAGGTATTGTTGAAATGCACTATGACTTCTTCTTGACAAACATAAAGAATCTTACTGAAATAAAGATGTATGATTTAACAGAATATGAAGGCTTAACGATGTCAGATGTAAAGAAAGGCAAACCAAAAAAGAGACCATATAGAGATGAAAGCACACTGACAAATGACCAGAAAGCCATTTTGGAAGCTCTTAAGCAAACAGGAAACCCAGCACTTATAGAAAGCTTTTGGAAAGATAATGGTGAAAAGAAGTTTTATAAGAAGAGAAGCGGCAGTTCTGGAAGTATCTTTGCACATTACCTATAAATCTTGAACGCTACCAAATCTTCAATGAACTGAACAAAAGAACTGCAACACTTATGACAGAGGACAATTGTTTCGTTTATGCTTGTATTCAGGCTGGAGTAAATGAAGAAACTATTGACCACATGAGAGAAGTCATTCGTGTTAGAGACTTTCCTCAAAGTAAAGTACAAGAAATTTCTGACGCAACAGGTATAGCATTTAATGTTACCATTGGTTACTTCAATGACTCAAGACATAATGAAATAAAGAGATACATACCAAAAGAATGTGAAACTGTTCGAACTATTGACTTACTTCTTGTTGAAGACCACTACATGCTAAATGAAAGACTTCCAATGACAACATATTTCATTCGAAACTATATAGAAATCTTGAAGGAGTGTGGTGGAATGAACATTGAGAAACAGATGAAGATTTATAAAAGAGAAGAATAAATATGTAGTTCGTTATGATAGAACAACACCGTTATGGGATGTTATGAAAACATTGTGGGAGTGCAAATATTTTGAACCTATTTCTTATGGAGAACTTTTCACATATACGACTGACTTATATAAACAGAACCTTGCACCATTTAAAGATTTGACATATGCTCCAAAGTATTGTGTACAACTGAAGAAGAAAGCAGAGTCAAAAGAAGTAAATAAAGCTAAATGTAAATTCATACCTGAGCACGTTTTCTTTGCTGACTTTGAGTGTAGTACGGATGGCTTTCATAAAGCTTTTAACATCTGTTATGACAGTGAAGATGGTTCAGTTAGTGAAAGTATTTGGGGTCAAAACTGTGCAACAGAA